GAGAGAGAGAGAGAGAGAGAGAGAGAGAGAGAGAGAGAGAGAGACGCGCATGACATTTGGACGAAGAGAGAAAAATTACTTCAAAGGGCCAGCGCATTAGCCCGCGCCTCTCTGGCGAAGGGAGAGGACAGGAGGGGACTGATCTCGTCGATAATTGGTTGGCCTCTCTGACCAATCACGAGCAGCAAGCGGTTTTGCTTGCCATCGTGGTCCGCCTCCCCCTGGGCTTCGTGACCACGTTTACAAATGGGAATAGAGTAGGTGAGAGGGACAGACTGTCCAGCCAATGAGACCTTGTAGCGTTCATGGGCGAGGTGAGGCCGCTGCCAGGTTTAGGGCGGAAGGAGCTGCTCTGGGTAAGAAGGTGAACGAAAGATGGCGGCGGAAACGCTGCTGTCCAGTCTGTTGTGGCTGCTGCTTCTGGGGCTCCTATTACCCGCAAGTCTGACTGACAGTGTCGGCAGCCTGAATCTAGAGGAGCTGAGTGAGATGCGTTATGGGATCGAGATCCTGCCATTGCCTGTCATGGGAGGGCAGGTGAGGAGGCGTGGAGTGGCCAGGGTCTGGGGCAAGGGAAAGAGGGAAAAGGTGGAGGAAGAAGGGCAGCTGTGGAGTCTGCAACGGTAGCCTAAGAAGAATCGGGAAGAGTAGGTAGGAGTTTTACGATGACTCTTAAGGCTCGTTGATTGAGACCCATTCCCCTGGGGCTAGGGACTGGGAGGGGTGGGGCTTCCCGCTGTCAGCTTCAGTTCCTGATCGGAGCACCCAGACTCCGCCCGGCGAGAAGTGGGAGGGCTCTCTCCCCTCACCCGCCAAACACAGCTGGAGGACTTGTGGCTCATTCTGACTTGACTGGGCTCTTCCCCAGGATCTGAAGAGGGGTCTCGTTGTTCTCTCTAATCCCAGCCTCTCTTTGCCTCCCTGCCCACCCCCCATCCTCCCTTCTTTCCCAGAGCCAAGCTTCCGACGTGGTGATTGTCTCCTCTAAGTACAAACAGCGCTATGAATGTCGCCTGCCAGCTGGAGCTATTCACTTCCAGCGTGAAAGGGAGGAGGAGGCACCTGCTTACCGAGGGCCTGGGATCCCTGAGTTGTTGAGCCCAATGAAAGATGCTCCTTGCCTGCTGAAGGTGAAAGGGGTTGGGGAGGATGGAATGAGGGCTTGGGAGCCGGCTAGCTATCTGGGAGCCAGAGTGCCCATGAATGAAGAGGGATCGAGAGGACCTCGGGGGAGTTAAGAAGGCCATTAGGGGAGCAGACATATTGTACAGACAGGAAAGAAGCAAAGAATCTTGCAACCACTGATGACACTTTGCTGAATGTAGAGGAGGGTTGGGATAGAAGATCGTAGAGTAATAGTTAAGCCAAGACTGAGGTGCCTGAGGAGAGTCAGTGTGGATAGGAAGGACACTGTCCTAGAGTTGCCTTCCTGGTAAAGTCATCCCCTGCCCTTGTCACTCTCTGCCCAGTATCCTATTTTATTTTCATCATAGCATTTTTCATGATCTGAAATCATCTTACCAACTGAATCATCAGTTTATTTAATTTTGCTCTGTGATGTGAGTCCATGAGGTCAGAGAATTTATCTTGTTCACGGCTGTATCCGCAGTGGCTAGAACAGCACAAGGAATGTTGTAGAAGTTCAGTTAGTATTTGAATATTCTGTATTTTCCTGGTCTGAGTGCTTCAAGGATATCAAGATTTCTTATCTTTATGGAAGGCAAAGAGGATTTTAAAAAAATCTTTGGAAAGGGAGGAGTGTAAAGACCACAGGTGTAAAACATACCCTAGAGGTATTTCTCCAGTCATAGAAGGAAAGCAGCCCTTGCTCCTCTCTGAGAATCTGGAGAGTGGAGTGTGGAAGTAGGCAGGAGGAGAAGTGGTTGAGAGGTTATGTGTCTTGGAGCCAGGAGAGATTCAGGTTCCAAGCAGAGACATCTGCACTCTATCCCCTTGATTGTTCATTTTTTATTGTCAGACCAAGGACTGGTGGACGTATGAATTCTGTTATGGACGCCACATCCAGCAGTACCACATGGAAGGTGACTCATGCCTACATTTTCCCTAAGCCCTCAGCACCACGTCATGGAAGGTGACCTGCCCTCCCAGTCCCCTTCCCTCTTGGTCCTCTTAGAAGGGAGTAATGGTGCTTCACTGATTTCTCTTGTAGATTCAGAGATCAAAGGTGAAGTCCTCTATCTCGGCTACTACCAATCGGCCTTCGACTGGGATGATGAGACAGCCAAGGTGGCAGGGGTCTGGGATTGGGAGACAATGAGGTCCTGGCTGTAGACTAAGCCCTGATCAAAAGGGGAGGGGCGGAATTAGCTGACATGTTGCTTGGGGCTTGGTGGCCATTAGGACAAAGTGCCATTCTTCCTCTTTGCGGTCTTTCTTCTGCCCCCACCCTCCTTCTTAATGTCCTCCCCAGGCCTCCAAGCAGCATCGCCTGAAACGCTACCACAGCCAGACCTATGGCAATGGATCCAAGTGTGACCTCAATGGGAGGCCACGGGAGGCCGAGGTTCGGGTGAGTCTCAGGACAGGGAAGTTGACAATATAGATTCTAAGGGAGGAGGGCAGGGTTGCTTGTTAGACTCCAGAAGGTCTCTTCCAGACCCAAAACTCTTAAGTTTAAGACTCCTTTTCCAGCTGGTAGCTGGATAGTCTGAGGCACTTAAAGTCAACACTTCCCAAATCCTTCCCTCGGATCCCCTAGCCACGCCTGTTTGTTTTTTCCATGTTTCTTCTCTTATCACCTGAGCGTCATTTCTGACTCTTCCTTTCTTCATGGAAGGACTTGTCAGTGAGGTGGTACTGATGTAGGCACCGGGCTCTGCTCTGGGCACACAGTGGTCAGCAAACATGCAGCCCCTGCCCTCAGTCTAGACGGGAAGACATGTTAAGACATGTAGTTACAGAAATGTCTGTAACTACAAACTGAGGAGCAGTGTGAAGGAAAGGAATCTAGTTTTCTCAGAATAAATGACAAAGCCTGTTCATTCTCTGTTTAGATTTCTCTGACCACTTTCTCCTTTCCTATGCTTGGCGCCTTCATCTCTCACCTGCTTCACTGCCAGCAGCCTCTTAACAGGTGTTCCTGATCTTGTGGTCCTGAATTGAATTCAGGCAAGCAGGTGGATGTATGGTGGGAAAGGTTCTTCAGGTGCTTCTAATGTGTATTCACAAACATAACCACCTACTGAGAACAGAATTACACACCTGACCACACATGAATTATCTTTCTGTAAAACAGATTTTCACATGCAGTTGTGTTCTGGTAGTTGTTGAAGACTCTGATCACCAGGATAGAGTTGGGGGTGCGGAGTGGGGAGCCTTGATTTGTCACGTTTGCCAATATCTGTGGTATAAGTATTCCTACCATGGCCAAATTCTTGCTGTCACTCTGATGTCAACCATCTTGCAACATTCCTGAACATTTACCAGTTGGCCGTTGTGAACTGGTGTGAGCTGACTGCCATAACACCTCGATGGCAAGTGTCACTTCTCTGTCCAGTCCTGGAAAACCTTCAGTGATTCCACCTTGCACAAAGGCTAACATCCAAATACTTCAGCAAGACTGGGGTGGCCGTGGAGGTGGTGGGAAGACCTCAGATTCTGGATATATTTTGAAGGTGGAGCCAATAAGATTTGCTGATGGATTAGATATGGGGTGGAGTCAAGTATGACTCCAGGGTTTTTAGCTTGAGCAGCTGGAACAATGCAACTGTCATTTACTAAAATGGGAAGGAATGGGTTTGGAGGGGAAAGCAGGTAGGTGTTAGACATATAAAGGTCAAAATGATATAAACCTTCAGTGGTGATGTCCAGTTGGTAGTTGGCTCTGTGATTCTGGAGTTCAGGAATGAGGTCTGGGCTGGAGATATAAATACTCATTGTGCTTCTGCCCCACTGGCCTTCTTTCTGTTCTGTGAATCAATGGGTCTTGTTGTTTCCTCTGCCTAAATCTGTCTTCCTCCAGATCTGCAGGTGCTTGGTTCCATCCCCTCATTCAGGTTATATATCTCTGTTGACACCTGCACAGGGAGCCCTAAAATAGGCACACAGAACACACCCATCCTTCTGCCCCCTTGCTGGTAAACACCTACAGTGTTTTATATTCTTGAAAGCATGTATCATTTCCTGAAATTATCTTATTTGTTTGAGTTTAATATCTCTTTCAGTCTTCCTGACTAGAATAAGCTCCAGGAAGGCAGGGACTTTTCCTTTTTAAATTTTTTGTCTGTCTTATTTTCTGCTATATCCTTGGTGTCTGGAACAGTACCTGGCACCAAGAAGGTGCCCAGAAATTATTTGTTGAACAAGTGATAAGGCAGTTCAAATGTCATTTATCTCATGTGAACTTTCTTGGCTAATCCAGATGGTTTCTTCAGCATTTTTAAAAAAGATTTTATTTATTTAATAGAGAGAGTGACAGCTAGAGAGGGAACACAAGCAGGAGGAGTGGGAGAGGGAGAAGCAGGCCTCCCACTGAGCTGGGAGCCTGATGCGGGGCTTGATCCCAGGACTCTGGGATCATGACCTGAGCCTGAGGCAGACGTTTAACTGACTGAGCCACCCAGACGCCCCTAGTCAGCATTTCATATACATATATCTACGTCCACATATATTCATGGCTTAATCTATTTGGGCTGCTAAAAGAAAATACCACAGACTGAGTAATTTATCAGCAGAAATTTTTTTCTTACAGTTCTGGAACCTGGAAGTCAGAGATCAGTGTGCCACTGTGGTGGGGTGAGGGCCCTCTTTCAGGTTGTAGACTTGTTTATTCTCACATGGTGAAAGGGGCTAGGGAGCTCTTTTATAAGAGCATTAATCCCATTTGTGAAGGTTCCACCCTTATAACCCAAGCACTTCCCAAAGGTTCCACTTCCTAATACCATTTCATTGGGCATAGATATTTAGGGGGACATAAACATTCAGACCATACAACCCACAAGCATTTACACACCTATATAATCTATTATAGCACTTACTTTATATATTTTTTTTAAAGATTTTATTTATTTGTCAGAGAGAGAGAGGGAGAGAGAGCAAGCACAGGCAGACAGAATGGCAGGCAGAGGCAGAGGGAGAAGCAGGCTCCCCGATGAGCAAGGAGCCCGATGTGGGACTCGATCCCAGGACGCCGGGATCATGACCTGAGCCGAAGGCAGCTGCTTAACCAACTGAGCCACCCAGGTGTCCCTATATTATTGTTTTTAAGTAGGCTCCATTCCCAGCGTGGAGCCCAGTGTGGGGCTTGAACTCACAACCCTGAGATCAAGACTTGAGTTGAGATCAGGAGTGAGATGCTTAAATGAGCCACCCACGCTCCCCTATTTCTTTATTATTATTTGTAGCTTCAGTAGGCTAAGAACCAAGGGCAAAGACTGCATTTTCCTCTCATCTATTGAACAGATGTCTTGTGCCAGCACTGTAATAGAAACTGGGGATAAAATGGTGACTGAGAGACCTAGTCCTACTCTCAGGAGACAGACATTAGATAAACAGCCACAACAAGCAGGTTAAAGACTGACTGGTGAAGTAGATATCATAGAAGGCCACACAGTAAAGGAAATGGCCAAGTCTAGGTAAAGGGGAAGCTTTCTGGAGAATGTGACCTTTGAACTGAGAGTTGAAGGCTGAGGAGTTAGTCTAGCAGTTAGAGGAATGGGAGAGGGAAGAGGGCATTGAAGGTGGAAGGTATGGTAGGTGCCAAAGGCCTGGAGGCAAGGGGCAATTGATTCCTATTCACGGTGACTGGAGAGAATTGCAGGCAGGGAGTGTGGGAGGTGAGGCTAAGCAAATATTAGGGGACAGTTTACACGTCAGAAAGCTCTGACTTTCTGTAGCTATGTTGAGGAGTTTGGACAATCTGAGAACCAAAGGGTAAGCCAGGGGAATATTTGAAGCAGAATGATGACATATCCAATTTTGGTTTGGAAAGCTCACTCTGGCTGGAGTATAGCAAATGGTTGGGAGGCCAGTTAGGAGGTGGTTGCAGCAATCCAGGTGAGAAAAGAACGTGGCCCAGGAATGAAGAAATGTGAACTCCAGGGGAGATTTAGAGGACAGTCAATAGAGTAAGATTCGTGGGTTTCTGGCTTGAGCAACTGGATAGGTGGTGGGCGGTTCCTGTTACTGAGTTAGGTATAGTAGAAAGAGGATAGGTCTGGTGAAGGAAAAGGATGATTCTGGTGTTGAGTATGATGATTTTGGTGGCTGAAGACTCAAGAGATTTCTGAGGAGGCTGTTGTATCTGTGGGTCTGGATCACAGGAGACAGATCCAAATTGAACCCAGGGGGCTGGGAGTCATCAACATATTGGCTATAATTGGAGTCAGGGTCTGGGTAAAATCCTCCCAAAGAAACAGTAAATAGTGAGAAAAGTGGAACAGAATGTTAAGGAAGCCATTGTTGAAAGCATGGGCAGAAGGGGGCCTCTGCCGAGAAGGGGCCAGAAAGGAGATACAGTGATGCAACCCAAGGAGGGACTGATCCATGGCAACAGTTGGATCTGAACCTTCAGGGAAGAGAATTAAAAACTGCTTGTAGGTGATCATGGGAATTTTAATAAAAGCAAAGCATGCATGCACAAGGAAATGAAAATTCAGACCATTGGCATGGAAACCAGATGAAAAGTTCTAAGTCCTCTACTCCCAGTCTCTCCTGAGCAGAGGTCATTGGTGATCTTTGCTACAGCAGTTTCAGGTGAAGATGTGGAAGAAGTCTGGGTGTTAAGGGGAGGGGAAAGGTGAGCCCTAGTTAGAGGGATTATGAGGTTGGGGAGAGTGGTACTTTGTTCTTGTTGTTTGTGTTGGGTGGATCTGGCAGAAAGGAGAGACTGAGTCACAGGAGAAAGATGGGGAAGAGAATGTGGGCAGGGCCAGGATAGGGAACACAGGAGCAGTTACCCTGAGCGTATGTAGGGTCATCACAGAAATGAAAGGGTGCTGTATTTGTTGGGGAGTCTGGAGGCTTTAGTGGCAGACAGTTGAGGGCATTCCTGTTTGGCTGTTTCTCATTTTTTAGTTCTTATATCCTGATAGACCACCCAAGTTCATTGCCTTCATGATCGAGTAAACCTCCCCCCTCCAGGCCAACCACTGTGAAGTTAGGTCTTCCCAATGCCTCCTGGGTAGGAGCAGTGTGCATGGTGTTTGGTAAAAGTGCTGTCCCCGTGGAGTTTGGGAATGACTAGCCATCTTGAATTAAACAAATTTGGATCCCCATCTCAATTCTTATGTTAAGATTTCACAGAGATCTAAGATTTTTCCTTTTCTAATTTCTAATTATGAAACATTTCAAACTTACAGAAAATAATGTCCTAGAGACCCATAGATCCACTGCCAAGGGAAACAGATGTTAACATTTTGCCATCAGAAAGGAACAAAATGCTAATGATACAGCTAAAGCCCTCCCTTTCATTTCCTTCCCCTCCCTCCTCGCCAGAAACAACCACAACCATCCCCATGCATGCTTTGTACTTCTATTAGTCGTATACATATCATAGACAATACATATTGT